ATCTGCACTGAGAACAGTATTTTGCACTGTTGATAGCCTGTGCTAAATACCCATCCAACACTGAATTTGTTGGAGACATGAGGACACATACTAGTTCATATGCACATCGAACTGAGGACATGTAGAAAGAGGGCAACACATGTAAGGGAGGAAAAGAGTGGGACTGGTGTCAACTGTGAAAACAGCATGGACAGGAAGGCAGGCTTAACAAATCCCCACACATGCAACGTGGCCTTGATTTAATTTCTACCTCCCACAGTTGCTTTGATCTTTAGAAGAACCCAGAGAAGATCCAGCTCGTATATCTATTGCTTCACATTACATCTGGCCTCAAGGATGGCCCACAGGTATGCACTAGGTAAAAGACACTCTAGCACTCCTTCATTTTATTATTTATCCATTCATTTAAATTATTTATATGCTGCCTTCCTCCCCACAGGGGGACTCAAGGCGGCTTACAACCAGTAAAAGTAAGATTTTAAACTATATATATATAAAGTATTTTTTAAAAACAATTAAACATATATTAAGATTAAAAATCAAGTGTGAAAACAATTCAAAAGCACTGAAAAATCTGTAAGTTCAAAACTAGCATTCCTGAGATAACTTACTCCTTAAAAGCGTGCCTAAAGAGGAATGTCTTTACCTGACAACCGAAGGACAAGATTTTGACCAATGATATGATGACATTCTCTCATGGCTTATGCACTCAAGTAACCTGTATACTCCTAATTGCCATCCAGTATTCCACTCAGAGAGACAGATATAGATATATGCTATCCTCTCTGCCTCATTTTCTAAGCATTTTGAGCAGACTTGCTTTGTGCATGCAGCTCCTGAAGAAACTTTATCCCATCCAACCCCCATGCAAAGTTCCTCGATTAATTTTCAGTTCACTCTTAGCTGATTCAGGGCCCAAACAGAATTTAAGGGCTAAGGATGAAGTGCAGAGTGTAATACCACCATGCCTCATGGTGCAGTAGTTAAACCGCTGTACTGCAGCTAAAACTGTGCTCGCGACCTGGGGTTCAAATCCCAGGTAGGGCTCAAGGTTGACTCAGCCTTCTATCCTTCCGAGGTCGGTAAAATGAGTACCCGGCTCGCTGGGGGGGCAATGTGTAGCCTGCATAAATAAATTGTAAACCGCCCAGAGAGTGCTTGAAGCGCTATGGGGCGGTATATAAGCAGCACGCTTTGCTTTGCTTTTTGCCACCATGTGGAGCTATCACAATTTCCTTAATATATTCTTTGTACTAGAACTTGTATCATTCAGGAGGGATGAACCACCTAGAACTGAGCCAAGATGTCTTCTGATATACTTCTCTTTCTTTCTTTCTTTCACACAGATACACAAAGCCCTGAAAAGAAAGCAGAGAATATTTGCCTAAATTGCCAATTGCCACATTCACAATGTCTTTGGCCTAAAGATGGGCCTTGGGCATTGTGGGAATGGTAAGCAGCTGCTACAGTGCCAACACAGCTGCTGGAGCTCATAAAGGCAATGCAAAACCAGAAACTTTTGGCAGAGAGAGGAAAAGAAGGAAGAAACTGTGGGTCTGCTTGCTGCTAATGGTGAGTGTTGCCCCACAGAACTGTTGGGTGATCTCTTTTCCCAGAAGAATACGGAACAAAATAGATTCCCAGAATTTAGAAATCAAGAAGCTTTGCTTTACTAGGAAAGTTCTTCTGCTAGCACAGGTACCTTAAAAAGATAGACAGACCATCAGCCCTAATTCTACTCAACTGCAGAGAGTGAGCAGTCTTTAAAATGGACTCTGATTCCACTTACAGTGAGTGAGAAAGGGCTTTTAATCATTTAAGGAGAATCAACCACCCAAGAAAATGGCTTTTTAATTTCTTCACAGAAGGTAAACTAAGCTGTCTTTATAAAACTCCAGTGTGTCAGACTCAAGAAAACTCAGTGGAACTGTGCAAAAATCAAACAACTTTGAAGAAAAACCAAAAGAAACAACAAAAGAAACCCCACAACCTTGTCTGAATGACATCAGTCAGAGACCCAACACTTCATCTACGTGTACGGTGGGTCAGATTTATATTCTGAATACTATACAGAATATTGGCCGGACCCGAAGAACAAGATAATGTGGCGAAGAGTAGACCTTAAAAAGTGTTCCAGTGTGTCAGTGCATGAAGTTGTACTTGATATTAAAATGTTTACAGAAGCCAGTAAGGGCACCTTGCTGGTAGCGGATAACATGCCTTTCCATGCAGTCTGAAATTTTAAAAAGGCGCACTAGCACCATATTGAAAAACGAAAACATGACAAAGATGACTCAGGAGAAAGTAACAGTGCCGAACTAGAAACAGGGAAATTCCTATTCAAATCCCACCCCAGCCACAATATCTAATGGTTAGACTTGGGCCAGTCACTGAAGGAATATGGGTAGCAGCTTCATGCCCAGTTAGACTGATCATATTCTCTGTTCTGGTGCTCTTCTTATAAGCTGAACTATAACTCCCATTGCTCCTATCCAGTACAGCAATTTCGATTAATGGCTTGGGATGATGGGCATTAAAATTCCACACATTTGGAGAGCACTAGATACTGTCTCCAAGCAACATAAAATGTTCCCTCCAGAAAGGACCACATGGTGGTAAATTGCTAAAATGCAACACATAAACATTTGCAAGCTGAGCTAAGGTCTCCTACTGACACCGAACCTACAGAACTGCTGTTAGGATAACTAGGCACAGTGATGTACTGTCACCCTGAGCTCTTTAGAAGAAAAGGAGCATCAAAATATCATTCATAAATACAACAGTTTTTTAACAAGACATACACTCCTGGAAGGCCATAGAAGGAATGGAACAACAATCCCTTAAAAATGCAATGAAAACAATACCAACAAACATAAATCCAAGAGTATGCAGCACTAACAAAGACACACTCTCTGAACGAATGGTTTACATTCCCAACTAACTGTCTCCTGGCATATTTAAGCCTATTCCATTATTGCACATCCTTCATCTCTGCATTTCCCTGTCTAAACAAGATCCGGCTTGTCTTAAAAATACCAGTTTCTCTGAACAGTGGTTTTCAATGCCTATTTGCAGAAAGCAACCCTCCGTATATGCATCTATCTGCATCATACCATTAGAAGTACAAGAGGGGGCCTCCTCAGTTAGTGTTCCTTAATGGAACACCTTCCCACTAGAGGCCTGGATGATACCAATTCAGATATCATTTGGGTGCCAAGAGAAATCCTGGCTATTAATCCAGGCTTCAGGAGCTTAGTTATGCTTAGTCCTAACTTACCACTTGTTGTTTTATATACCTTCTTAGTTAGTTAGTTAGTTAGTTAGTTAGTTAGTTAGTTAGTTAGTTAGTTAGTTAGTTAGTTAGTTAGTTAGTTAGTTAGTTAGTTAGTTAGTTAGTTAGTTAGTTAGTTAGTTAGTTAGCGTGAGGAGTAAGGTAGGTAGGCAGGTAGGAAGGAAGGAAGGAAGGAAGGAAGGAAGGAATTTTAATGCCTGGGTGGCACCCTATGTGCATCAATTGGCAAATATCCATCTCTGAATGCTGAGTGCTAAATACTTCACACAGCCTATGCTCAACAAAACCTGGATCTGTAACCATTTTTGCAATTCATGAACTATGCCACACAAAATATGCAATCCCGTCAATAAATTCAGTCACCTAGATGTGGAACCATCATAACTAGAGGAAGGATTTCTATGACATTTCACATTTTCTCTGCAACCTACGTACATTTGAATCCAAAAGAAAGTTTAAACATGTTTATGAGTAATCTGGTGTTTCTCATCAGATTACTCATAAATGTGCTGAAACCCACAAACAGATCAAACAGAGATGGGAGAAAAAAAATGACATGTCATAGAAATCCTCCCCCAATCATAACCGTAATTCTTTTGATTGCATTTATAATGGAATTCGGGCCTTGTGATATAGTCTACTAGTATCCTAGTAAATAATATCCAGCAACATTGTTCACATTTTAAAAAATTTCAAGGGAGACAAATAATGAACACACTTGTTAAATATTATTATTTAAAGCAGCAGTCCTCAACCCTTTGGGGGATGCGTACCATTTGAGGGGAGCGAGCTCCATGCACGGGTGGGTGGAGGCACCCCCGCGCTCACAGGGGGCATGTCGCGCTTGTGGGGGGGTTGCACACAGCTCCTGTTGTGCTGGGGGGCGTGTTGCGCATGCACACGAGCGCAACACACCCACCGCGCATCCACGCGGGGGGCGGAGATATGTATCCGCGGCCCAGTTACGGCAAGCCCAGTGGCGATATGTATCTGTGGCCCAGTTACGGGAAGCCCATGGACTGGCACCACACCGCGGAGGGAGGGTTGATGACCCCTGCTTTAAAGTACAATTTTTTTCAGAAGAGAGGCTATTTATCACCTTTACATAATATGATGATATGCTATCACAGAGGATATTAAACAAAATTATTTCAATCCAGGTAACTGTGTGTGGTGTGTGGTACAGTGGGTAGAGTGACAGATGAGGAATCAGGAGACCTGGGTTTGGATGTCTGCTTGGCCATGGAAGCTCACTGGGGGTGTGAAAGTGGTAAAAACACCCTTAAACATCACACTTAGCTTGAAAGCTTTACTAAGATTGCTACAAGTCAGTTCCAATGTGACATGAAACTGCTATTTTAACACTGCATGCATTCTTCCTTCATTCCAGATGAAAGTATATCAAATAATATGGTAACTTTCGCCATGCATTTTCTTGCCTCTTCTCATAAGCACTATTTGAATTGATTAACATTTCAGTACAGCCTAATAACATCCATGGTTATGGGCAAATGTCATTTAATTCATTGGTATGGTTCTATTAAATAAACATTTTATGGAATTTTAGCAGAATTTTACACTCTCTTGTAAAGAAAGAAGACTCAAGGTAAACTTATTTTGAGAAGTGTGTATTTTACAAATCTTAAAAATGTTCATTCATTCATTCATGCATACATGCATTCATTTTAAATCATCTTGGGCCACTTACCCTTACAAGACTTGGAGCAACACATGAGCATGGCATCTTTACATGCTTCAGGCACTTCTCATGAGACATAAAATTGCACACTGTGGAAAATAAATTAAATAAGTTAATTGACCTTTTTTTAAAAAGACATTAAAAAATCCAAGTACACTAATCATCCTGGATACAGTTATCTGAAGTAGTACCTCTTTTCTTCTCTCAAAAATCCACCACCTCTCTCCTTTTTTTAGGGCATGACCCAGAATCCAATATTCACAAGGCAAACCTTTGATCCACATTCTCCATATAGTTTTATATGAATCTATTTGACAGAGTTTATAATAGTCATGTTATAGTCTTTTATCTGAAAGGGAAATCCCTAATTTTGCAGCATTTCCTTGCTGAGAAAGTGCCCAAGCACTGTCACTGTCCTTTTCTGTACCTGTCCTTGTTCCGTAACATATTTCCTGAGTTTTCAAAGAGGTAAATCATACTAGTCTGTTTCAAGAAAAGATAAGAAAAATGACAGAAATACCATGACACCTTGAAGACTAACAGAGTTATTTCAGTGTGAGAGCTTTTGCTGGTTTGTCCAGGAAAGTGGGCTCTAATCCCCTGGAGTAAATCTGTTACTCTTTATAACGCCATAGCACTTTCGTCTCTTTTTTGTTTTACCTCGTTTTTGTGACGTGTCATCCAGAACCTTAAACAGTATTCCACAAATAGCTGCACCACTGATTTGGAAAAGGTATTATGAAATACTGGCAGTTCTGTTTTCAGTCCCTTTGCTAACAATTCCGCAAACAGGCTTGGCTTTTCTATGGTTACATCCCACTATCTGCCATCTGCAACAGCAGCTCTCCAAAAGGATAAAATATTTGAAATGTTCAATTGTGTTATATCAATAATCCGGACTAATCAGTAAAGCAAAATCCAGAAAACAAAAAGCTGCACCCTGGACAAACAGACAACAAAATGGCTACTACAGCTCAATGTAAGCATACGATTGGAGCAAAACAGTCCTGTTGTTAAGTGGAATCTCAGCCAGTAATGACTAACCAGGAAAAATGGGGCTCTAGGGCAGCACATGGATAACTTAATGAAAACATACACCACTGTGTGATGACAGACAGGGTGGACTAATGGAAGACTCAGTTGTTATGCCACATTAATGCTACAGCTTTAGCTGCTTTCACTTTTAGGGTTAGGTTATCAGTGGTGTCGCTGCGGGCTAAATCTCTATGGAGAAAGGGTCAGAAGACCAGCAGTTGTAAGATCGAATCCACGTGACGGGGTGAGCTCCTGTCGCTTTGACCCAGCTCCTCGCCAACCTAGCAGTTCGAAAGCATCTAAATGTGAGTAGATAAATAGGTACCACCTTGGTGGGAAGGTAAAATGGCGTTCCCTAGTCACGCTGGCCACGTGATAATGGAAACTGTCTTCGGACAAGCGCTGGCTCTACGGCTTGAAAAACGGGATGAGCACCGCCCCCTAGAGTCGGACACGACTGGACTAAAAATGTCAAGGGAAACCTTTACCTTTACCTTTTATCAGCAATCAGTTTCCTTGTGGCTCAGAACTTAAAAAGTTTACTTCAGTCCAACTGAATTCAGGTTATGACTACACTGGAAGGCTGAACTGGAGCAATTCAGTTTTGCTGCAGCTTGATTTGCAGCCTATTTTACACGTTTGTTTGAATTAGGTGACCACACAGAGACTGTAGATTGGTGTCAGTATCCACAGTGGCCCCTCAATCCAGTGTAGGTTGATCCATGCCACAGCCCACAGCCCCAATTCCTTTGACCTTGCCCTCTGCCCATCTTCGGCTTTTGTTTTGTGGTTAATTGTAAAGCTCTTGGGCTGTTTAAAGTATTGCACTACATTGGGGGAAAACAGACAGTTTTCCAAAGTTCTCCATAACCTACAAATACATATACATATACTGCTGGAACATGGTAGTCTACTGTAGCTTGCTGCTGTTGTTTCTATTTCATATTGATTTTTATCGCTTTTGTCTGTGCAAAGATCTAATGGTCAACTAATGTATCAATGCAGTGATAAGGTGATATAGCGCTAAACCCAGTAGTCTGTTTAAAATAAATAAACAAACACTTCAGGACTATGGAGAAAGATCATGGGGGTGGGTGTTCTCATTGTCCAAAACATCATGCCCAGCTTAGTATGACACCAGAATACCATCAACAGTTATGTGCCTGTCCTTTCGAAGAGTGAAATGACTGATCACATGGAGAAGACACCATTCAAATTACTCCTACTTTAAAAGGAAGAGAGAGAGAAATTCCACATTTGAAGCAAAAAGGGCCAGGCTGACTTCTCTTGGCTTCTGCATCATGTGATCAGTTTTAAAAAGTTTGAATTCATCTATTCTACTTCTGCAGCAAATCCAGTACTATATCTGCCAGTGTAGTTGCAGCCTCAGTAAGGCTCAGTTTCCTTGTAAGCATGCTTAGCCTCTCAGTTTTAATAATTCTGTGACAAATAGCAGCTCCTTTGAGGATAAAACCAATGACTTTCTGGTGATAGAAATTCAGCAGCTATTTTAAATGTTCTCTGTGGGCCTTCTGTGTGGTCGTCACAAGCTACTTATTTTTATTGAGGTTAATTGTTCTCATTTCTTTCCATTGTCCTCTTCAGTCTGCCAATTAAACAGAGATGACCTTGAAGCTATCAGCTACTACTGTCTGCAGCTTTTAAACAGAAGCATCTCAGAAATTGCTTCAAACCCCTCCCCCATTTCTTTTAAGTTGTCCTGATTAGACTTACTAGCAGCTAAGCTAATATGCAAAGACCAAATCCTATTAGGTTTTGTTAAGTGATCTCCATTTGATACTAAACAGATGATAGCTTAAACTGTAATACAAGGAACTGAATCGCATAAAAGGAAGAGTGAAAACTTTATCATAATGTTTTCGTATCATTTTGATTTCTGGTGTGCTGTTTCTATTTATAACAAACCCAACTTTATTACAAGAGCCCTTACTGGTCAGGAAAAAAAAGAATTACTGTATGTAGTTAAGATCTGCATAGTTCACAACGCATTGTGCAAAAAAGCATTCTATAAAGATTAAAATAGTGAAAATTGTTTGTTTGTTTGCCTGCATTATAGAATTTGGTGCCTATGAAAATATGACTGATACAAAAACATTTTGGGGAAGATGATGTATCACCAAGAAAGGCCATTTGCCATGCAAGGCTCTACAAAGGTTTTATTAAAAGAAATGGCTTCTTCCAAATGAGCCCAATGGATGAGATCCTCAGCCAAGACCTTGCCACATATAGTATTTCTATCTTCAGTGACCATCAGCACATCAACAGGATCTTTTTCTGTAACGGTTGACAGAGAAAGATGCAAAACCTCTTGTATCTAGAAAGTTGACACACATTGGTGTTTGCTGTTGTTTTAATTGAAATGACTGACAGATTAAGAAATACTGGGGAAAATACACGTTTTTATTAAAATAATGTTTAAAGGTTTTAATATGTGTAATTTTCTATTTAGAAGACTACAACATCTGCACATTTGACATCTACATCCACTGTTACCATGTTTCCCTCAAAATAAGACAGGGTCTTATATTACTTTTTGCTCCAAAAAACGCAGTAGGGCTTATTTTTAGGGGATTTTTTTTCATGTGCAACATTTATTGAAATACAGTCATGTCATCTTCTGGTTGCTGCACAACGGTGGAGGGCAGGGTTTCACTTAACCGGGGCTTATTTTGGGGGTAGGGCTTATATTACAAGCATCCTGATAAATCATACCACCAGGGTTTATTTTCAGGTTACGTTTTATTTTCAGAGAAACAGGGTAGTATTTTGAACCTACAAGATACGAGGGACAGAAAATGGAATGGATTACTTTGGAAAACAGAAAACTCTCCTTCACTGTAAGTTTTTAAACAGAAGGGGAACAGCCATTTGTCAAGGAGTAGATCATAGATTTCCTGTAATTACATAGAATCTAGTTCCAGGAATGCACCTATAAACATTCAACAAACATTAGCTAGAACTATCATGCAATTACATATTAATTAAAGTACATGAATGTTAGTTTATTGTCTGCAGAAGCATATGAGCATTAGTGCTGAAGAAGAAAAGGCAAAAATTATTTGTTTAAGTCCGAAAAAGTCCAACAAGCACTACTAAATGCACATGGGGTGCTGACAAATTTTTCCCACTCCTAACCCAATGGTATCCCTCCATGAGGTATGGAGCATCATCACTCAGGATCTCTCCCCCAAATCTCTGGGAAAATATTTTCAAATGCAAATGCATGGACATGCACATCAAAATATGCTGCACTCTGGAAAACAGCCATTCTTCAAAGACACACACCCATACATTGAGCCAGCACCATCTTAGCATCCACTCCCTTCCCACTATTCAAAAGAGAAAGAGAAGCAACTCTTCTAAGTGAACCTTAGATTCTTAGATTCTTTTAAAAATATTTTTTTAAAAAATTCAATGAAAAAATATAAGATTAATCCAGCGAACTGTTGATATGTGTCATCAGGTCGCTTCTGATGACCCCAAGCAGTAGTGACCTCCGAAAAACCCTAGTAACAATAGCTTTGTGCAGCTCTTTAAAACTTAAGGTCATGGTCTCCTTGAGTGAGTCAATTGATCTCATATTTGGACTTCCTCTTTTCCCGCTGCCTTCGATTTCTCCCACCATGTACGGGTGAAATCCTGTTGGTACCTGGAAAGCTGATGACGCCATCAGCAAAGGACAATTTTCAGAAATTAAACACTTCCTACTTGTATCCTGTGGCACCAATGCAATACTGTTTATTATTTGGAAACCATGAGATAGAAAGAAGTGATCTTTAATTATTAAAAATAACCCATGCTGCAACAACATTATTGGCAGCTGCAACTTTTTGTAAAGGCTTCCTCCTCTCGTCTCATAGCTCTTGTTAACTTCCAATGACAAGAATTACACTGGAGCTGTGGGAGCTACAGGATGGAAGTTGGAAGTGCTTAATTTAGAAAAATCACCTCCTGTATTTCTGATTGTGCTAAGTTTCTTTTTAATTGCATTCATTCAGTTCTGTACCTCCCCCTTTTTTGTTATAATTAATTC